GGCTAATCATTGCTCGATTCCGACTGTCAGCGTGTTTACTGGGGATGCTGTCGTCTCGTCGTATGGGCCAAACTCGTCTGAAGTACATCCGTAGAAACGGCCACTGAGAAGCTGTTGAAGGGAAGTTTGTCAAATTGTCGGAGAGAGTTTTAGATTAAATTTTTTGGCACAACATCTTTTCTATCAGGTGAGTAACGACAGGAACGGAACGCGGCAAATCATGGGCGCTAACCTCGGTGGTACCAAGAGAAATAAAAACAAACAACAACAAGAGAACGACAGAAAAGCGTAGAACGAAAGCGCAAGAATGGTTAGGCGTGTTAGTTTTGCCGCAATCAGTTGAAGTTGCTCGAGCGCTTGTCAACTTTTGTTTGTTTGATAAAATGCGCGTTTATGCTGTTTTCCCGCCAAAGTACGCTAGAAGAAAAAAAAGCCAGGTGCAGACCTTACAGATGATGTTTTGCTTTTGCATAATTGTGCATATTAATCCGTCACGTAATATGGGCCTATCAGGATGGCCAAGTGGGACCACCGACCGATGTCCGCGCCTATGGCCCGCCGTTTCGAAGCGTTCCGAACCATAGTACCTTTTTCTGTACATTTTTATATTAACTCTATGCGTTATATGGCACGGCATCCCAATTGTTTCCGGTTTTGGCACCTGTCAAAAGAAAAAAAAAGAAAACGCGAGTGCCAGCCGAACAGTGACCTAGCGCTCGTCTCCTCACTGATTGGACACGGGTGCCAGCCAAACGACCTGCCCAAGTAGATACTGTCGTCGGCTTAAGGGTACAGGGTAAGTCCCACACATCCTATGCATATTAGGCCCTGTTGAGGAACATTTTACCGTATACTTATTAGGAGTATATATAGAGGGGCATGTTGACTTGGAGGTCGAAGGCGTAGAAGACAGAGTTGCAGAGTAACTGTTGAAAACAAACCAGGAGGATTTTATTCGAGGTTTCGACCTAAAGCAGGTTTTCGTCAGGAATGACGAAGACCTGCCTCGGGTAAAGCGTCGAATAAAATCCTCCCGGTTTGTTTTCCACCGTTACCCTGCATCTCTCTTTCTCTCTCTCTCTCTCTCTCTCTCTCTATATATATATATATATAAACGAATATGTGCAGATGAATGAACCGTACTTAATCCAACGAATTAAAGAATCCAAGTTTTCAGGAACCCGCCGAAAGCCAAAAATTGGCGGAGCCAGTTTTTGGCTCCGCCAATTTTTGGCTTTCGGCGGGTTCCTGAAAACTTGGATTCTTTAATTCATTGGATTAAGTACGGTTCATTCATCTGCACATATTCGTTTATATCCCCCTCGGAGACCACGTACGATGACGTGAAGTGCCCGTGTTGTATATATATATATATATATATATATATATATATATATTGAACGAAGAGGCAAGAAAGTGGTTATTGAATTTATTACATAAAAGTTAAGTCAGGCTAGGTTAGGTGGAGTTATGGTGAGTTATGGTGCCCTTTCCCTAACTTTAATGCAATAAATTTAATAATCACTCCTTCCCCCCTTCGTTCAAGCTTCAGAGTATTACTAAGGGTGCTCTCAGTCTTCACTTATTCTCATTTTGTTACAAATGTAGTGGATGTTTTCTAATTACCTATAAGTAATGATACAAAATGGAAATTAAAATTTGGATTATTTTTTCTAGTACTGAAATCATAGCTCTCTTGGTGCATTAAAATGTTTAGCACAAAAACTGTTATGCGTATATTTTAACTTATATTTCAGTACATTTCAACACCTACGTAAGCGTCAGCGGTAGGAATAAAAAGAAAAAAAATCAACGCTCCATAATGACAGGTTAAGAAAATAGTATTGCCTTTATACAGAAAAATACTCTTTCAAGACAATTGAGTTAAAAAAAAGACAAGTAAATAACAAATTCATATTGGAACCAACACGCTACGATCATTTCTTCAATAGCCGCCAACTTGGTAGTCATTGTCTCATTCATGTCTTCGCTTTTTGGCTTTTCGCCATGTTTGCCGGGCCTCTCTTGTGACCTCGTGTGTCCTTCGGTCGGCAAAGTATATTCGAGGTACGTCAGCTTCCCTCAGCCACTTGATGTTGATCCACCCAGGGTTTGATCAACAGGACTTCAAAATATTAGCTCGTGCGATGCTACTACTATTGAATCACAGAAAGGCATCCAACGTCGCCATGTTGTCGCTCAAAAAGACAGGAACTTGAAAGTACACACGTGAAAAAAAAACGTGCATAAGATTGCCTTGAAAAAAAAAATGCAATAGTTGCAACGTTAATTTTAAGATGTAGCTCTTCCCGAACATGCTTTTAAATCTGGTGTTAATTTTTTGTTTGAAAATTTATCGATACACAAAGAATGCATCCCAAAAGAAGGCGTGGTCACCCGCTAATGCTTTCGGTAAAAGTGTCTTTCAGCCTAAAATGAAATTTTCTATGAATAGTGTGACGATGGAAAATGCGCAGAAAGAAATAACCTCTTCAAGTGGTACAAAATAAATTAATTTTTCTTTATCTTGTGGTTTCAATGACACTTAGGAGCGCACGTGTAACTAGGGTATTTCTCCCCCTGCAAGCAACATCATGTCGTCAAGCACAGAGAGCGACACAATCGGCGCCCTCTACGCCTTGCGCGCGATAAGCGGGCGAGCTGCCGGGCTTCCAGGATTCCTGTCGAGCGCGCGCACACTTTGTTTGTTTATTTTCATTTTTTTTTTCGCATGCTTTCTGGATAAGGCCGTTTACGAGGAAGCCGCAGTGAAACGTGACTCTTTCATCTCTGTTCCTGGATGTATCGTTCCTCGAGATTCGGTGCCTGAGCTGCCGCAGTGCCAGAGACGGCAGCGCTGCGACCGCAACTCGCTCGACGCGTTATCACATTTTGTGGTATTTCTGCCTTTACCCCTATGGTGTTAAAAAAAAAGTATATATATATATATATATATATATACTGTTGTACTTTTTTGCCGTCTATCTTCCGTGTTTTATTTTGTTCCTTTTAAACGGATTGTCTGCAAGGGAACACTTTAGAAAACTCTGAAGACCCATTCTCTTATCAGTCATATAACGCGTTCGTACCCTCTGTCCTCGCACTCTGGGAATATTAGTTTTGCGACGTTCAGTTTAATCTTTTTCGCTGCCGGGGCTGCTCGAGAGCACTGGGAGAGCTCACACTAACACTCCAGCTCTGAAATACAGCATGAAATCGTGGTGCTCCCAATCCGCAGTGTGCGTGTAACTAAAAGTGCGCTAAATGACAGAAGACACTAATGCGCCGTTCATCTGGCTAAGCCACGCTGCCCGTACTGTTTTTCTGTTAACATCTTGATGCGTGCGCCGGCTCCAGCAAGTTTGTTTTTATATATTAAGGATGTACGCCACCGAAGAAGCATAATTGGGAAGCAGTACCTGATAAAAAGAAGGTTTTAATTGGTCACTCCCATAAGCGCTTCGTGGATATTTATACAAATGACTCCTCGCAGGAATTGGTCATATAATATATTTGTGTTGGAATACAGAAGCTGAATGCAATGTTTAAACAGTAGCAACCGGATAATCTCTTTGATGAACTGCCCATTGAGCATTTTCCCCAGTTCGCTTCTTGAACAAGATGGCCTTCAACGAGTTTCCCTTCGACGATTTCACTTTTGAAGATTTAGAGCCGCTCATGGGCATGCTCTCTTTTGCCGAGTCTATGAAGGCTATCGATCTGAAGGACTGTATAATTTTCCTTCGCAAAACTAAATGTTTTGATAGCTATGAACACATTTTGATATCGGAAAGAAGCAGACAGTGCTGAGATTCAAAGTCCGTTCAAAAACGTGTGACTGTTTGACGGATTTGCCGATGTGGCACTCCGGGTGCATTAAAATATTATATATGCAAGCCTAACTTTTTTCTTTTCTTACAATATTACACGTTAAACGTTTAGTATATACGAAAGATGCGTCAGAACCAGACTTGTGCTCGTTACTTGAAAAATGTAAAGAATTACAATTACAAATGACTGAGCTTCAAACGTTACAAATTACTTTCGCTGAAAAGTAACGGACTAATTATCTCGTTCCGTTACAAATTACTTTCACGTTACTTTTCCCATACACTTTGCCAGGAAAAAATAGAAGCAACTTTGATATTTTTCAAAAATGCTCTGCCACACTTCTTTTTATTTCTCATACGCCCGTATTATGGTAGTCCTTGTAAAAATAAAATATTGTATTTAAGAGAAACAGTGTTGGTGCAGTCCGTTCACCTGGAAGCTGACAAGGCACCAAAAGCTGCAACCACACCAGCCATTCCTCTAGCTTACGGCCTCCGGAAACGATCTCTGGAATTGTGTAGACAAAGCTAGCGGCGCGCATGCTCAGCAGTAGCGTCTACCTCCGCTACGAGATTCGGAGATAAGGAAGCGATCTACGACAGCTCCCTCTTGACTCGTGTGTTTCGCCTGTTACTCACAAGAAAAGAAAAAGTTGGTTGTAACGTTACAATATATAGCCAATGCGGATTACTGGTGTCCCAGCTTACCTTGACGTGCTTCCGTACATTAGAGTTTGTTGTTCTTAATGATCACAATGTGTGTTTCTTGGCAAGCAAAGTTCGCACTGAAACTCTAGGTTTCCGTTGTCCTTAAAGGAGAGGTGCAACGATATTCACTTCGAATGTTTTTCACTTTACACGAGCCTAGTGGCACTAGTGGGACTCAAGGATACTCGCACGCAACGCCACTGGCCAAAAAACTCTTTTATTGCGCTGTAATTTAAAAAAAAAAAAAAACGATCATTTTGATTCAATCTCCTTTGCGAAACTTGATGACGTAAAGTGGGAATCGCAGTACACCCCAATGACAATATTTGAATGCGGTTCATAGATTAGACCCGATAATTGCGTGGGCACTCGATTTGGGCTCGTAAAAATTACAAGCTCGAGAAGCATTCGGGTAGTGGCCCGTGTCCAATCGCCGCAACGACGACCATAGCCGAGCCCTAACAATGTCTGGAACTCAGCACCGGTCCTGTTCTTTGCCAACACCAGCGCGTGGCTATGATCAACAATGGCAGCATATAATCGGCTCCAGATCACGTGGCCGCTTGTTCTGGCTGCGAGCTGAGGAGGTGAACGCTGCTCGCTTTTCTTTAAATTTTTTTCTGGGGCTTCTATTTGATGGGGTGAAAAACGAAAGCGTGTTTCATAGGTCATTAACATCAGAGATTCGTTCTAAGCGGTATTTGCGCAAAGTACAAAAATTTTTGCATCGCCCCTTTAGTAACCTGAATTTTGAACATCCCATTAAAGGGTATTCACACGCATAGGGTGTTTACACTGGTTTTCACCCGGCGCGCGCGCATCACGAGACGAAAACGCGAGGCTTTTCCACATCGCAAAGCCTGACGTTTTCGTGGCGGGATGCGCGTGCCGTGGAAAAATCCTTGGGGTTTCTCCCTCGTGTGAATACCCCTTTAAGAGATGGCCGTGGAGACGACGGACGCTCCGTGACCGAAAACTCGGCCAGACAGAGAAAACGTGGAGGTTACGGGTTATCGATCGTTCATCGTTTCTCACTTTCATACCAATATTCGTGGAGGCCATAGAGAGCTAGAGAAGCGGTGGCCTACGGTCTCACAAAACAATAGAGGATACACCACTTTTAGCGTTCTTTCTCTCTCCCTGTCAGGACTCCAGAGATGACCTACCCCCCCCCCCCCCTTTATTTTATCTTGACAGTTGACTGTAAAGTGAGGGGCGTACTCGACCACCAAGCTCAGACAACTAAATCAAAAGAAGTATCGTCCGTATACCGTCGAAGACGATGCCCTTAGCCTCGCGCCGGGCGCTTCTCAGTCGTGCCTCAAGAGCGTGACAGAATACAGTAGCGCACATCAAAGGCCGATTTCACCAGCCAGGTTGACTACGCCACCGCTGCCGCAATGCATCGAGGGAACTTTAGTCTTTCTGCACGTGCAATAACCCTGCTGGAGCTCTGCGCTTTTGGAGCACGAGACTGCACGAGCCCTCGCATGCACGGCCGTCTGCCTCCCGTGAACTAACGTTATGGTGGCATCACGCAAGCGCCGAACGCTTTGTGAGATCGGTCTATTCGACCCCCTCGCGCGAGGTTGCATCGTCTGTTATGGCCGATTCACACGACGAACTGATCAGCGGACGGACTGATCACGTGACGGCATGTCGGCGGTTCGTCCGTCTCCCAAGCGCATCTACACGAGGGAGACGAGAAGGAGGAGGAGGAGTAAACTTTTATTGATTGCAAGAGACTTTTGGTTTAGGTGGGGCCCTTAGTCCAGGGCTCCAGTGCTCTCTGCCGCAGCCTTCGCCCTTTGTACCAGCATTTGCTGGTCGTCAGGGGAGGGGCTGAGCAGCGCAGCTTCCCAGGTCTCGTAGGAAGGGGAAGAGGAAGGGGGGAGCGAGGGGTTGGAGAGACACGCCCAAGTGACATGATAGAGGGATGGGTACTTGCCGCAGTGTGGGCAAGTGTCAGGATATTTGTTGGGGTAAAATTTATGCAGGAGTGTCAAATGTTTGAATGCTGTCATCTGTAACTGACGCCAGGTCGTGGCCTGCTCGCGGGTTAGTGAGTGATGAGGTGGTGGATATTTGAAACGACGAGCAGACGCAAGCGAGGACAGACCGAACCTGTTCGTCACCTTACAGTACAGCGGAACTTCAACATCGCACCGTGGTACGTTTCCTACCGCGCTAATAAATCGTACGCCGCTGGTACGTACAGATCGAGACAAAAAACTGTGATAGGCTTTGCTCGAAGCGCTGCTAGCTTTGCTATCCCCAAGCATGATAGTGACACAGGCATGGCCCTGCTCGAGAAGGCTTCGGCATAGAAGCAACGAAGTTCTGGGCTCGCGGGGGGGGGGGGGGGGGGGGGGCGTTTCGAGATGCCTTCACGCATTCCGCGCTCGTACACAACAGTCAAGTACACCACAGCCACAAGAGAGGTCTTGCTCGGTGAAATCCTCATTTGACTAAGGTAACCTTAAATTGGACGTGCAGGAATTATCGCGGCGTGCTAGACGAGTTTTGACGGGAGCGTCTTGACACGGACCCGGAGGTGTACCGGAACCTACGTCGCGTCAGCTGGACAAAGTTTCTGCAGTTTCTTTCACGCGTGGTACCAAGAATCGCGCGACAAAATGAACCAACGAAAGCACACAAACAAAACGATGTGCTTTTTTTGTTTAATCGTCCAGAAAGAAACAAAAAACCAAGAAAAGTATGTACCGTTGAGAGACTAAACGTTTTACAAGTCTATCTCTCCCCGAGAATTCACGAGTGAAAAAGGCGCTCGACTTATCAGTCGCCGCGGACGAGGAGCAGATCGCAGGAATCAATGACATGCTGGTCACGTGGTACACGGTTCGCGGACGAAAATCGTGATTCGGTTCGTCGTGTGAATCGGCTGTTACGCGTGCTGTGAACCCGCGAATCGAGGTGGTACGGACCCGCGTTTGATGTCTGCGCAGGTGGCGGGTGACGTCGGAGAAGTTTGAAAGGGTGAACCAGAGTAAAAGACAAAAACAAATAAACACGAAGATCTTTCTCCTGCCCCGGAAGAAGAAAAAAAAAAAAAACACAGGATGAAAGGCGACGTAGAGCCTACTCGGCGTTGTCTTACTTGATCTTTGTCTTTCTTAGGTTTGTACATGCCTTGCCCGTTTTTGTAGTGGTTCTGGTGACAGGTCATACAAGAAATCGTGTTTTCTCTTCGGCTACTTTCCCCTTCCTGATGTTTTCTATTATGTTGAATTTCTCTCTTTAGGCTGCTAAATGTTCTGCTCTTCTAGCTCCATTTACTGTATTATGCTAATATTTAAAAAAATAAAAAGTAACTAAAGTAATTTGTTACCAATATTTTGTAACCAAATTACGTTAAAATTCCTTCCGAGAAAAAGTAACGTGGCAATTACAGAATTACTTGTAAAAGTAATGACTTACAAGTAATCTGTTACTTATAACAAATTACTTTCCAAGTCTGGTCAGAACCAGATGTAATTAAATTACCGAGAAGTGGAAACAGCCTTGCGAATCTCTTGCGAATGCATCTCGTGTGAGGTGACAATTCTGCTTTATTCTTTCGGCGGCTATCACTAGAAAATCTGAAAAAGTTTTCGTAAAATATTTTTATAAAGATAAATATTTATCAAGTAATATCATTAAAAAATGGTTGGCTCTCCGAGGCAATTTCTCTCAATAGGCTCTGTTTGCACGAAAAATACTTCGTTTTTGAAGTGGTGTACACCACTTCAAAACAGGCGCAGCAAACTTGCTATAAAGTACGCTTTGTTTGCGAGACTATTCGCGCAGAAATGCTCTTTGAGAAGGGGCGCACTCGGGCTATGGGAAGCACTTCACACAAGTGGTGTGGACCCAGGTATGTAATGCGGCACATTCTGAGGTGGCGCTTTTTTTTTGTGTGTGTGAGTGTGGCAACATAGAAGACATAATATTATTTTCACTTTATTTCTCATGGCGTTTTTTTTGTTTGTCTTTTTATTGATCAATGTACACGTGAATATCTGAACACAGAAACGAACATCAATTTGTATAGAGGAAAGACGCAATATCTTCTTGAGGAATATTTACAAGATGAACTTATTTACAGACGCATTTCTCCTAACTCGGGCATGATCGCATACATTCAATTTCCAATTTTTTATGACGCAGAGTGGATGTTTATGTCGGGAAAGGTTAGGCATATATATATCCTACACATTTAATAAAATGATCGAACACGATGGTGCCATGATCAAAACCTTGTGGTATATTACATAGCTTTTTGACCCGTAAGAAATATGATATGGCTAGGGGCCTTCGTGAGGATATGTTTGGAAAAGAGGGCTGACAGGTGCTCACCTAACGAATGTAGGGTTAGTCGCATGTCTCAATATAGCTTGTGTTCACCTGTCAGGACATAGGTATTAGATGCGCTTTTAGTTTTCATTGGTCATGTGTCATTGAACTTAATTTACACGTTGGTATCATCTTAGCTTCCTTCCAATTGCCATGTAGCTTCCATATGTTTTCGAGTTACATACATTTTTTCATTTTATTATTGACACGACGAAATTAATATTTTAGGTAATATTAACGTATCGGGGTTTAGGCGCCATGTAAGCTTAAACATTACATGTCCTTCTTTGCGCCACTATAGCTCAGCAATATGTCTGACGTAACTAGGCACTTCTGTAGTGTCTAAACGCGCTCACGTGGTGATTTACGAATATCCGGCACACTGTTACAGATATCCGAACATTATTCGGGGGCTTGAGAAGCATTGTGCGCTTTAAACATTATTTCTGCGTCTACTTTCATGTTCAAGTTTTATAGGCCCAGTCACAACAATACATAGAGTAATTTCGGCGAATGATGTGACGAAATATACGTGTGACTGGAAATAAAGTATGCTGAATAAGGTAAAACGTTATGCTCGGCGGCAAAGGCCGTTTTGTTTTCCGATGAAAGATGTTTCTACAGATTCGCCATTCGTCGAGGTACGTCCGTAAATTGTAGCGATCACTTTCCGAGCGCTTACTGGACAGTAGATAGGTAAGCAGTTTGTTTACATGCGGCTTTCTATATTTGTATGTTATGTTCAAGTGGATGGCTGCTAAAAATAGGCAAACTCCGCGGCCGCTGACATAGAGCTCTGCCACATTTGATTCCACTTCTCTTACACCATTGTATTCGCATGGTTCAGAAAATTTTCCCAGTTTTAAAATTGATGTTCTTGCTTTAACGTCCTCGTCGTAAAACCTTACAATGGTAGATTCTTTAAAGTAACGTTTTAGGGAAGCCTATCCTTTTGTTGTACTTACACTCGCCAAGATATTACGCCAGCGAGGCTAGATGGAATATGACCAGAAGTCACAGACACTTGACCAGAGTATTGGCACCACCGAGCTCTGAAGTGCTCGCGCAGCCAGAAAATGCGGTTGCGTAGAGGGTGGTACGGAACTTCAGTATGGCAATGTCAGAGCCGGTACTTGGCTTCTATGGTCTGTTCTTTGTCTATACACGAGGGCACGGCAACACACGTGTCTTCCCTGCCGATGATATGGTCATCCGTGGTACCGTTGTTTCGGACAGATTGCCCGTTCTCGATCCGCCTTGGCGTGGGCGCGAGGAGCATCTTTTCCAGCGAGGCCACGGGTGCTTCGCAGAGCAGGAACAACAGGTAAGCCAGGAGGAAGGAGAGGGTGACGCATCCAAAGAAGTCTTTCATCTGTAAAACCAACGTATATTGTCCCTAGCCGCTTAGAGCTCCAGACTTGAACGCCGACACCGATGCCATTTAACTCGCAAACGGGCGCCTAAGAGCTGCGCTCTAAGAGACGCGCTTGCCTTTTTTTTTTTTTTTAATGCATTGATTATTTTAGGAAATATACGTTCTTATTTTGCAGTAAACGGAAGGTATATGAACTCATTTCGTCAAATTCCTCTTTGGACCTCCTCGTCTCAACCTTCTCAAAACATCCAAACCGTTTTATTTTCTTTTTTCAACATTTGGGCCTTCTCGCATTTGGTCCAATTCGATCTACGACCGAATGGCACATAGCACGCATGGATTGACTCTAACGGTGCGTAACGCCGGATGCAGTTCATTTTAAGCGGAAAGAAAAAATAAGATTATGGAATGGGGAAAGAAGTCACGACAAGTTCATCCCTACTCCGAAAAAAAGAAAAAAATAGGGGGGACTTATAAAGTCGCGCCTTGACATAAAGTGCAGTTCGGTGTTTCATTTTCCAGTGCTCGCGACCACTTCCGTACAACTCAACGAGCCGGTACTGACCTACGCTGTACGCTTCAAGGGCAGGACGAACGTATTCCGGTAACCATTTCGGCAAACCGTGATACCAAAGCACGAGTGCGTGTTTATGCGAGTGCGTACGTTCAGAGAAATGCGGAGGGGCGGACTTGAAGAAGCCACTTCGGGGATATGCGGTTACCAATCCAGAACGTCGCCACCTCAAAGTGCCCTATTTGATTTTTTTCTTTTTCATTTGATGATGAAATGAGAAGGATTTAACAAGAAGGAACCAAATGCGGCAAGCCCAAGCGAGAAGGACGTTTCGAGAATGATCTACTTGAAGAGGTTCAAATCAGAAGTCCGAAACGAGAACAGGCCCAAATGAGAACAACCCGACCCGAACATTAAAGAAAAACATATGCGTTCGCACAAAGCAGTCAGTTTTCGTACATTTGGCAAGGTTAGTATGTTGGCTTAGTAACCGTCATTCTATCCATGGCCTACGGTTGCTGCTCTCCTACGTACCAGGTGGAAGTGCTGGAGAGACATGCGTTCCCTCATGATCCCTGTGCGTATGAGGTAGAGTGGGGAATGAACAAGGTAAGCCCCGTAAGAGAGTCGACTGAGTGGGACAAGAGCTTTCCACGATAGCAGCCGGGTTACGAAACCTGAAAAAAAAAAAAAACAGTTTCAGTGACTTTTTTTTTTGCATTAGGATAAATATTATTGTTTTTGTTCTTACATTATGCCCCAATTTCTGGAAACGCCATGCAACAACGGGTCACAATCACGAACATGTACATGCGGTATCGTTGACTCAAGAGCCTTAATAGGACGGAAGGTTGGAGGGGAGGGGGTGGAGTGCCAGTGTCGGTAATTAATGGATGGAGTGCAGCGAAAGAACGAAACCGGAGAAATCATGAAGCCTAAAATATGTCATTCGGTCTTAATGCTGTTTCACATGCTGCGATTCTCGTTCGAAATCGGTGCGATTTCCAGTAAATGTACGATCAAAATCGCAGTCGCGCTGTCGCAGTGGCTCTGCGACTAGTTTCCACCAAGTCGGTATTTTGTCGCAGAGTCGGTGCGATCGCTTCATCGTCAACCAGCCGTTCATTAGCCAGCTTTCATCCGCGATAGTTGCGTATTCGAAAATAAATTTAGACACCCTAAAACTTTTGGTTTAATGCTTGACTATTAAAAATTTCTAGTTACATGCTGTATTCGTAAAATATTTGTGTTTATTAGGACGCTTGTGTTGTATTTTAGGCAAAGTCAAACGCGTCGCGTCCGTATCCGAACAGCCGGCCGCGCCCGAAGAGAATTGCACAGTTGTTGGAGCATGTGAAACCAAACATTGCGATCGCACTCGCTGCGCCGGCTTTCGCAACAGACGCTGCATTTGGAACAGGCTTTACGCTTGTTTTCTAAAACGTATGTTGTTGTTTTTATCAACTAAATTTTCTGCACACGTCTTTTTGTGGATATTTTGACCGCAACGGCATATACTACATAGCACAACACAAGCAGTGTCCAGTACTATCGTTTTCCAGTTTCCATATCTCTACGAAGTGGTCGTGCTCTCCAGATTGAACCATACGATTACCGTATAATTGTCATAAATGTTCTTCACGTCCACTATGCATCAACGACCGCAAGTTACGAAAAAACATTGTTGTAGGTGATTGAAATCCCCTTTTCCTGTGTTCTAAGCAAAACCGTTTCTAGAAATGTAATATTTTTGTTTCTTGCTTCGTGTTTCTCCTACACTTTGCTGTGCATTATTTACCCACAATATTGTCTAAACATAAATTGTACAGGGTGTCACAAAAAAAAAAGATTTACAGAGTTTTTTACTGCAAAAATAAGCTAGGAATCGCCGAACGCTCATTATCCGCTCAAAAATAGCGCACCCAAAAAATATTACAGTTTTTTTTTACCGCAAAAATAAACTAGGCATCGCCTAACGCTCATCCTCCGCCCAAAAGTAGCGCTAGAGGTCACAAACAGATGCCAAAGTTTCAGCCCGATCCGATACCTTAATCAAAAGTTATATGTTTTTCTAAAAAAAATTCAATGTGCAAATGGCGGCCGACGGAGTTTTTGAGTACATGGGGCTCTATGGGCACCAGAAACCGAAGACGGGCAAAAATAGGCGCCACTTTCCCATTGCAATTTTCATTAAATCGTTTACAACTTTTGAATAAGGTATTGGATCGGGCTCAAACGTTGGCATCTGGTTCGGACATTTAGCGCTAACTTTGGGCGGAGAATGAGTGTTCGGCATTGCCTAGTTTATTTTTGCGGTGAAAAAAAACTCTGTAACTTTTTTTTATGACACCCTGTACATACACACCTTGACACTGTTAACGCGAGCAGGCGATCGCCGTTCTTTTTAAATCGAAAGGTTATTTTATTAAACTTAGAATTTTGGTGGACAGTGCTCATTTTCGGCACTTACATCAGCGGTATAAAACTCGCTATCGGCTAACACTATTTCGAAGTTCAGTATCGAAAAAAGACCGATGTCGTGTTTGCGTTATCAAGATTGCGAATTGTAGAGTTGGCACTAAAACTATTACTACAGGATAACGATTGCCGCTGGTGCTGCCGGGACGCAAACAAAGCGGGGACCAAACTGCCTGACGTATGCTTATGCCATATTAGTAGAACGGGCGAGGTCGGCAGACCGCAGCCTTTCCCATAGCGAGCTTTCGAAACGCCGATTATCCGCCTCCGGCTAAAGGACCGACCACTTTCGCTTTCGGTGTATTAGCAGCAACGCGGCGCCACGTGCGGGAGTTTCACCACTCCAACGGTCGATCTTTTTTTTTATTTTTTATTGCACGTTAAGCGCACGTAGACCTGTAACCTGTTGATGCTATTTTTCCTCTTTGCACGTAATACATCGCAGGAATGTTTGAACTTGCACACAGGGTTCGTTTGCGCACTTGTCGTCGGAGGAGAAAGCTCAAATATTAGGGTACGTCACCTCCTCGTCCACAAGCACAGGAGAAAGTAATCCACGCCAGCACCAGGGCCCAGATGGCCTTGCCGAAGCCAGCGTAGAGCACGGCGTCGAGTCCCACCCAGGGGTCGCCTCGAAGCCACTTGAACGGTCCGAACACCACGAGAAGCGCCAACGCGGAGGAGAGCAGCCAGAGCGTTATTCGAATCAGACGGTGGAGCTGCTCAGCGCTGTGGTTGAGGACGACGTAGCCCAGCATGATCCCGATGGCGTAGGAGGCCACATGCACGTGGGGCCGGTAGTAGATGTACGCCATCGTCTCCAGAGTTTTGCTGTTGTTGGCAAAAAGGTTGGTTCGTAACAACTTTGTATACACTGCCACAACAAACTCGATCTAACAGACGTCGGAATATCTTCTAGACAGTAATTAAAACTGAACTATAAGAGTTTACTCATTTGAAGCGAGTGTTTCTAGGCACAAATGATCAGTAAACATACAGAGGATTTTGCGTGTATTTCCTCTGAGGCAAATATCGTTATTGAAAGTAAACCATAGGAGCATGCCATTGCATTTTGGTAAATCCGCCGCCGGAACGCTTTTTGGGCTATCTGAGTCAATGGAGTTGCAGATATCTGTGCAATTATGCTCATGTCAGAGTCACTTTTGTTTGGATATGTCTATACAGTCTAGAAAAACTTGCGTGTTCACTTTCCCGCAGAATGCATTGCTAGCCATGCATTCACTGCGAGCAAAAAAAAAAAAAGAAGATCCCCGCAAATGCCGACGATCAGCAGGCAATTACACTTGAAAAGGTTATTAGCGCATAGACAGTGAACGTGACGTTTTTACTTGCACATTTCCTTGAGCTGGTAGCATTTTTCAGTTCTAATTGCATTCTAAACTTCGTAATTCTCTAGGATCATTCTTTTGTTCGCAGTCTACCCCCGTTTTCTGTAGAAAAGTGAATGTATCTTTTATTGTAGTTTTTGTAGAGCGTAGATAGAGTAACTTGGTGTGATGCAAAATATGACACAAATGACATGCAGAATGAACTGTGAGACGATTGGGGCTGTTATATAATTAAGCATACTAATGTGTCTACTCTTCCTCTGAGCCCACAAACACTCAATGGTTGCGATGCACATAAGATGCTCGACAAATGAAGAAAATATAATTACGAGTAGGCAAAAAACAATTAAGTCTCTAATGTGACACTGACTATGACTTCAACACCTGGAACGTCATGCAGTGTGTCACTTGCACAATTTATTTTTAGGTTTAGTGATATGTTCCGCGTCTTCATTCACCCGGCTCCCTTCGCAGATGGCTATTTTTATACGTTTCATTTCTTCGTCGGAAAGTAGACGAAGGGTGTATTTGAACAATGTAGAGCTCCGATGTTATGAGTTTATCACTGTATGGGACTGCGTCTAAGGCATCTGAGGGCGTGGTGCAAAATTCCTCTTAGGTCATCGTACCACTATGTGAGCGAACAGCAAACACTGCACCGCAGACATAATATAATTTACTATTATTCTGTGGTTCGTCTAAAACTCACACGAAAAGAAATAGGAGCAAGAAGTGTCGCGGAAGATTTCTCGGGTCGCCAAAAGCAGAATTTGTTTTGTTTTCGAAAATAATACAGTGTTTGTCATTCTGGTGGTTGGAAGCCAACTGACAATCTCATGTATGTTGCTAGAGGCGAGAACTCAGACTACGCAATATAATTCGTGGTAGACTGAAAGAATATTACGTTATCTTTCTGTTAATTGATCAGACGCGACATTTTTTACAGTTTCCAGCGAAAGCGGTCGAGCACTTACTCAAGCTCCGGTTGTCCATAAATAGGTATCGGCTGATAGGAGTTGAGGTACGCCTGGATGCTGACGGCTGTTGACGTCCCGATGACCAGCACGCTTGCCATGAGAAATCCCAACTTGGGTCGACTGGGAGAGAAGGAAGAATGTTTTTTTAAAGTATAATGCAATAATTTTCTAAATTAGATTACAGCAATGCGATTTAAATTGTAGGGTAAGGAGAGGGGGGGGGGGGGGGCGACAACCACAACATAGATGATTTCTTTTATGTTTTCCCGCAGCGCTTCGCCCACGTAGCCTAACGTTGACCGTACGGCCTGGGCTCGTGTTCAAGAACTCTGGGGATAACAAGCTGGATAGCTCCCACTATAGTTCGGTCTCCTTGAAGTATAATATAGAATAGGGTGACTAGCTGCGGTTAAATAGCTGTCTCTTATGTGCGTCAATTCTGCAAAACATGAACGTGCGCTTTTGTTTCAAACCCATGCTTTATATTCTTTTTTCAGAGTGCTGATTATGGCATTTTGTAATTTTTTTAAAACAAGAACAATGTTAGGTCGGGCGGAGACTGAAAGGCATGCGCATCAAGCGTTTTTTTTTTTAAGAGAACAAGATTATCTGATTAGCAAAACTGCAGTTTTTTGCAAACATTTATAACTGACCCTGAAACTGCGTTTACGATACCAACTTCAAAGAAACACAGCAATCGATACCGTAAATATCTCCGCCTTCACCACAAAGAAAAAAAAAATAAATAAAAAAATAAAAAAGCAACAACAACAACAAAAAAACATTGATACGGGTGACATCCAATGCCAAATAAATATTGGTCCGTAACAAATGAAATCGCTCACGAATGGGAACCGGTGAAGAATTCGAGCTTTAGATGCGCATGGATTATCAAGGGTTTAAGCAGGTTATGGGATGGAACTTTTTGAGGAAATACCGAAAACAAAAGTGGGTCCTTCACTCTGACAACGCGACGCGCCACACCGTCTATCTGCGTGATGACATTTTCATGAAAGCATTGTGACAGATTATTCACATCCTTACAGCATATAAACTAACGCCCTTAACGCACTTTAGAGAGTTTTAGTAATACGTATAGGAGCAAACGCAGACCCCATACGTTAACGTTAACGTTGCGTCCTCCACAATGCGCATGCGCCATACGTACGTACTGCGGCGAGCCTTGCGTACGTACGCTCGCTATCGATTTTTGCGAACGTACGTATCGGTCCCCTGCGTGCCATCTCGTTGCTCTCGTCGCGCACGGGAGAGCGCGAGACTAGTCCAGTTTAAAAAATGGCGGCGGTGACGCAAACCAGCGGAAGTGCTACGCGCATTGTACGGGTTCAATTACCATTAGAGATGACATAAACCTCCTCAAAGAAGTCAACGCGACGAACCCTTTCGAACACCCACAAAGATGGGTGTCGATAGCCAAGAACGTTGCCGACGCCATCGAACCCAAAAAGGTGGTCACCGTGCGGTCTGTACAAAAAAAAGAAAAAAATAAAAGGACAAAACACGTACACAACTTTCGTAACAAAGCGAGGAGAATCGGGGCTTTGGATTGGCTTGACCGAAAACCCGCCTTGGATTGTTTGAAGCAGTTTACAGGAGCACATCTAGATGGCGCTACAAGTCTTTACGTATGCGTTCTTCTTCCGCTGTACTAAAAGTGCGTATTCGACGCGCTCCGTAACGTTCCGTCGACGCAACGTTAACGCTAACGTAGAAGGTTTGCGTTTGCCCCTATACGTATTACTAAAACTCTCTTTTAAACGGTGCGAAAAAATCGGTTTCTCAATGTATGGCGCTGCAATTTACTACAAAGGTGCGGTTAGGTGGAGGAAGCACGGAGTGAAAATATCGGCAAAAAAAACTCACCTTGTTAAGAACGGAAACCTGTTTCCGCTTAGCTGTCTATGCTGCCTCAAGGTGGCACAACGTGAGACATGGGGTAAGGCAGAACCTCGGGCGATCATCTCCGGACCAAAAATAGAGAGCCATGAGGGATTTAATTTATATTCCTTCTTAAGTTACTTCTTTTATAAATAAATTATCGCCAAAATATAATTTGGCATTACAGAGATGACAGTCCCAGATTTTCGGAAGATCGGCCGCTAACCTTGATGCCGGAAGCGCGTTGGCGCGCTCGACGCTTCCGACATCTGTCGGTAGTAGATACAACAGCTGCACTCGGTCATGACGTTGTCTGCGGACGCAACGGCAGATAGCCCGAAAGAGGTTTTTCCTTCTTTTTTTTTTTTAACAAGGTAAGCTCATCTGTTGATATTTTTACCCCATGCCTCCACCACCTAGCCCCAAGTCTGTAGTAAGTCGCAGCGCGACACATCGACAAAACCTTTACAGGCCGTCTAAAGAGCCTTAGAAACGATAGCTTTCATGCTGTAGTACTTTGAAAAGGAATGCAATAGCAATCATTTATCAACATACGCGAGATCCAAAAGAAAAAAAAAAAAGTTCAACTGGTGTTTTTAGTAGTGTGGAAAGTCCCTGCAAAAGGCATAAACAAATGTAAACCCACCCGCAGTTTAAACCTAGCGTCTCTTTTCGTGTATTGCAGGACATCCGGAACAAATAACGTAAAATGAGAACAAAGAGGCTTTGGAAACAGCGCTCTTGCAGCAATGTTAACAACGTGAAAGCTTCACCCTCCGCTCGGTCCTTAATGTCGCCTCAAATAATCTTAAACAAAGCATTCGTTCTTATGTATCTTTCCAGTTTACTGTCCTAGACAGCTGAAGCTTAATTTCTACGTTCATTTTATACTTATTCAATAATTGAAGTAACAAAATAAAAGCAAAAAAAGCAAAAAAAAATCTTATATATGCGATTGCTCGTTGAAAAGATAAAAGCTGAGATAAAAACTACTCGCGGAGCATAATTTTCTGGTCTCACAATTTTTTATCATAGTAAAATAAAAAAATAAAGGAAATTACATTTTCTCATTTTCTCGCGTAATGTAGATCACTGCTTCCGAAGTCAGAAGGGTCGGTGATACCTATATGAATAAGATGTGTAGTAAACTACAACAGATTTAACTCACCATCATTGAGTTTCCATTTTATTTTAATATAAAATATAAAATACGCAGAGAAATCCTCAATTAAACCAATGTCTACGCTCTAAAATTAAGAAAAAAAGAAATCTGTAGTAATCTTTGCATTTCGGTGGCATCGATTTAATTTGGTACAGGAAAATTGCTTCACCTGATCATGACCACTGGAATAATCCAGATGAACATGTAGATTTGCCAGTCAACACTCACGTACCAGGTGTGCTGTAGGCACTACAAAATGGAAGAAAACGAAGATTAGAACCTATTTACTTCGGTGCTTTATAAATGACTTTATTAATACTTTCTAAGTCCTTTGTTCTTTCTTCACCTTGCGTGTTAATCTCTCATGACATAGATGTATACATAAATTATTAATTAATTTTATAAACTGTCTTACAACGCTCGTTTAAATACATAGGGTTGGATATTTCCTTATTGAATGCTTTATAACGGAAATATAAAAATACTAAAGAAACAACTCAGATGCAGGCTCTACAATTAGCCCTTTTCGAAAACTATATGGTGCACACAAGCGCAGCGAGTTTTATTTGGCGGTGAGCAGTTAAATTATTTTGGAAGAAAACTCGTCACGGCAAGCGCGCATATTTCTTAAGTCAAATAACAGAAGAAATGTGAGTCTTGCCATGTCCAGCAAGTGACTCCAGTTGTTGACGTGAATGAGAGACTTCCACCAGTTTCGGCTGCACGTCGCAAAGATAGCCGGGTGGTGTTCTCGAACGAGAGGACCGTCGATGACCAGCGGCACGAGCAGCCAGATGCCGATGACGAACATGAGAGGCGCTGTAAGTCTGAACGACGATTTCGCCGCCAGTTATGATCCGCGGCACTGTGTTCTGCAGAAGTCGGGAGGAACACGCAACCTCACCTTATGTACCTCCTCAAGAGCAGCAACGATACCGGCAGCCATAGACTTCCTTTTCTGTCTCTCAGGTGCTTTACTACGTTGTAGCTTAAAAGAAAACCACTGAAAAGACAAGTAAAGTTAAAAATTGAGAGACAAGGCATTGATAGTTCAAAGTAACATCAGCGCGTGTCTACGATTTCTAATTGGCTTTGATGGCTTGTTACCTTGTGAAACACGGTTGACGTTGGCCATCGAAACTACTTGTGAGTTGAGAAGTGCTCGTTAAAGTAAATGGTAAACTTTTGTTCCTGAAAATACCCCACCAAAGCCGCACGCTAACAATGTCGCGCGGTGTATCTGTTCTACCCGATTACCAACAGATGCCCTGCTAAATTGAGTGGTCATATCCAGCGTCAGCCTCGCTTTGCCAGTAGGTAACAAAGTTAAGATAAGCGTGTTATCGCTCTGCGTGTGGTTCCTGAATGCGTCGTTTTTAAATATTGCGTGCTTTTAAGCCAGTCCTGGACCGTCCTCTTGGCATATCAAAGGTGTCTCAATGTTTGGCGTTGTGACAAAGAATCGTAAGATATACGCACATGCACAGATTTAGGTGATTGCTTTATCTTTAAACTCATCTGTTTTTGCTATGAGTAGTTCACTTGAAGACAGCACTGAGCATACAATTGAAACGCCTCGTTTTATTCAGCGTATTATTAAACACCGACCATGCTGGTTAGGTTAATTTCTACACGAAAGAATAAACACATTGGATGGAGCACAAAACACGACATCATTCAACAAACTGACATTGCCTTTCCTTCAACGAGTTTTGCCCCTCTGCTTCCAAAAATTGTTGTCGCCCTGCGGGGGGGGGGGGGGGGTGTCGTTGTCATTCATATTAATTGCTGGTTGAAAGATGTCGTGTTCTGTGCTCCGTCCTATGCCCTTATCATATCGTGTGTAAAAGAAGAAGAAAAATCGCAGCGGACGATGAATTTCACGCAATACCTGCCTGCTGAAAATGGGCTTAGCATTTTTTTTCCCAATTGGGAATATCCCTAATACCTGTCAACCCGACAATACAACTTCTGAAAAAAAAGGTCACTAAACAAATTGGCTGCAGAAATCCCCATCGTTTATTTTCTGTGAATTGCGATAGATTTCGTCATGAGAATTACGACGCAGTTCACTGTGAATACGACGACGCAAAATTTGAGTAAACAGTTCATTTTGTTAAAGGTTTAGGACGTAGTCACTGGCGTCACCACGACTGGAGCGCGCCACTTCGAAATTGATTTATGACCTCGTCTTTGTGTAACTGTTCAATCTTCTGTGTCTGTGTAATCGTTTAGTGTTGAAACTGCCCCCCCCCCCCCATTTCATTGCAGCTTCGTGTGTGTCTTGTACTGCCTCTGCGTAATCAAGTTGTTTCACCGCCATCCAGGGTTTTCCCCAGGAATTGGAATTAGGGGGAGGGGGTCTGAAATTTTTGGGGGAAGGCGGGGGAGGGGGGGGGGGGCATTGAAAATAGAGGAGTCGTTGCGAATTAAGGCGGTGCTTCAGAGAAGCAAGGGGGATGTACACCCCCTTAGCGGTGTGTATGGAAATCACTACCATCCTCACTGGCCATGTATCAACTAGCTGAACTCAAAGCGATAATTGCTTCATAGCTTTGACGCAAATCTGAATGTGTGTGTACTGCCACTCCGTGTTTGCGCGGCGCGGATTTATCTGCTTGCTAGGGCGACGACGTCAAAGACGGCGTCTAGGAGCACCTCTAGGACGACCTCTAGAACGATTTTTAAAGCGATCTCAAGGACAAACTTGAGGACGCCCTCTAGGACAACCTCGGGGACGTTGTCTAGGACGACGTCAAAAAAGAAGCCTGGAACGACTTCTAGAACGAGCTCTAGGGCGATTTGAAGGAAGACCTCTAGCACAATCTCAAGAACGACGTCTAGGACGACGGCGAGGACGACGCCCTAGAGGACGAGATCAAAGGCGACGTCTAGAACAACCTCTTGGACGTCTTCAAGGAAAACGTCTCGGACGACATCGATGACGACGCCCGCATACGTGCGGTGCCTGCTTATGTGGACGTCGTGCCCGCGCGGACGTCCTGCATATGCGCGGAGCATTTCAGGTCAGATCCCGTATCGCGAAAACCGGTTGAAATACCTAAAGAATGTTATGGCATTAAAATTAAATAGGAGATACGGTTAAATTGTGTTTCTAAATCACCACACTTAATTAAACAACAAATTCAATTTTCTTTTATTTTTTTTTGTTTGTTTTTCTTTTTTTTTTTTAGCTCCTATGCCCGGAACTTGTATGATGCATAATCACTAACAGCTTAAGACACCCAGGGAGCTGGGATTTTTCAGTATCCTAATGTCCCCAGCCCAGCTAGCGGAGTCTCCTTAGCTAGTGTCCCCAGCTAAGGAGACTCCGGCGTTCACCAATAAGAACGTCGAAGATCGAATCACAAAGGAAGGATCCCCAAAATAGTACGCGATGCCCTGTGTTTCTTTAGCGGTCAGTGGCTTTAGTTCCGTATGTCCCCACTCTAAAGCGTCTTTCTTTTTTCTTTTTTTCACACTTGCGAGAGCCAATTGCCGCAATTGCACTATGACAGTGAGGCACTGTCATAGTGCAAAGTGTTTTTTTTTTTTGAGTGACCGTGGGGGGGGGGGGGGGGGGGGGCGAAGTACACATCGTCCTCTGTCGAGCTATCTTTATAAATCACAGCAATTTGCCTTGTCAAGTGCTCTGCGGGGAAGTAGACCCTCCGGATGCACAGACGCTGGCCACTGTAATAAATTCCAGAACTAAACGTGTCCTGTCGTACCTCATGAACAGGAATGTCTGGACCGATGGATAGGCGTTGCCGACAAGGCACCACAGCAGATGCTTGCCGAAGCGGACAATTCGAAGCATTTCTCCAACGGCGGTTGGCTCGATGGTGAGATAGCTGTGACCCAGAATGACCCAGACGGCGCTCAGAAAACGCATGCCATGTAGGAACCGCAGACGCTTCGCGTCAGAGTCCTTTTCCGCTCGAACGGCGAGAAGCTTCTCCGTGTTGGTCACCGCGGAGAAGGAGACCACCATTTTGTAGAAAGCGCCTGAGGGAAGCAATAGATTAAGTCAGCTCCTTTCTCCCTACGATCATTCTTTTAATTTCGCAACTTGTATAATGGCTTTAAAACTGATTCATTTCTGTGTTGCTGATTAACTGGTCGCAAAACAATGTTCAATAATCCCGTTTGGTAAGTCGACGGTAAATTCCGTCTGGCGACTTCACAGAATCGAACGCATTTACTCATAGCGTAAGAAAGGCTGGGCGAGGCGAGTTCTAAGCATATAATTAATATCGCCTGCGCTCAATAAGCCAGCGGCATCGGCCGAGAAGCATGCGGAAGAAAGAACGCCGCAGCAAAAAGTATGATAATAATACTGCACACCCAGTTCTCCTTCAGCTGGCAGTGACGGCAGTAAGGAGCGAACCGCGAAAATCATTATAAGGCTCCAATACAGACTTCACCGGGACAGTGAAAAGGGCGTTTTTTATATTCGATGTTTAAACGCAAACCACTTTTTTTTCTTTTTTTCTTTCTTTGAAGAAACTGTAAGGGTGTTGGTGACTGTCATGCAGCAACCGAAAGTATAAACACATAAGACACGGGACGGTACAGACACGTCTTTCAATTTATCAAAGATGTGCCTCTGTGGTCCCTTCACTTGCATGTTTATTCATCCGTTTCGTTCCTCACTTTTTTTTTAATTGAATTGTGTACACAGATTAGTTTTCCGTGTAGCGCGACAAGAATACCGAGTCGTTGTTATTCCTTAAAATGTACATTCCCTGGCTGTTTCACCTTTGGCAAGAGCGGTTAACTTTAGTGGAAACTTCCTATAGGATGCATGCGATCCGAAGTAACACAGTTCTTGGGGTCAGCATTTGGTTTTTGTCTTGCAATTTAGGACCCTAAAAGGCCTAAATATGCCGAGGTATTCTTGATACTCTTGTAGTCACAGTCTGGAAATTTTGCCCCTTAATTGCCCAAGAAGTGCCGGAGTTAGGCTTCGCTATCTGGCTGTTCGATTGCGACGCGGCTTTTTTGGGCCTCAGTTCCCGAATAAATTTCAGAATTTAGCATCACTTGTGGTTGTTCGGTTTTCATGTGGCAACCTTTGTCCTAAATTGCTATACAGTTGTCAGATTTGGGCTTCACTGCTGGTCCTTCGGTTTATACGTGGCATCTAGGGCTCGAGACTGGCACATCTGGTAATTATGTGGCACATCAGAGCAAAATCAAAGAAAATTGAAAGAAAACTACTGGAACATTATTTAGCACCTCCTTGAAAGAAAAATAAATTAGGCCCAAGCTAGGCCGCTTAAATTGCTGAACTTTATAGCCAAGCTAGATGATTATTCGGCGCGCTGCCTGGAATATGTGAACACAAATTGTACCTTTGGGTAAAGTGCTGTGACCACGCCAGCAGGATATCAGGTATGAGAACCATCGCTTTAGACCCACCAGCTGCTTTCGAATTTGGGCTAGTACCAATAATATTAGAGATATCGAAAAAAATTCTAGGCATATGTTATTTTTGTGCGAACCATTATTTTGCGTTCTCTTTTTCAACTGAAAATTGGGGAAGCAGTTTTGAATCATTACAAGTAAGGGATGATTGCAGACCATCAAATCATCAACGCGGCGTACAGTGCAGCTTGGTATGCGAAGTAGCAAGCGATATTCTTAAGGCGTGTCTAGTGTTTCGTAAAATGTTAGTTTACAGGCGGAATAAAAGGTTAATGCCCTGAGTTATCATCGTAATCCGTGAATACTTGCCTAACCGGATCTAAGCTGGTATCTAGTTCTTTGCAGGAAGTCTTTCTTGCGCGAGGTGAATACGACTCCGTCGTTATTGGGCAACACAAATGTCTAGAAACTTCCAGTGAACCATTAACTGACACTCTTCTTTCTCCAGTCTCTGACCTCCATTGTCTTGATATATCCCGTATTTTATTTCCAGCTGTCACAAGTCATCAACTGAAAAAGCCTGAACTATTCTTGATTGACATTCACACAACAACTTTTTGATGACGCATGTTTACCGGCGTGCTATCTTGATCATCACTCTCTATGTGTTACGTAGGACGTGGTTTTTCCAAAGTGACGCCACGCCTCTTGATGAGATAATACCAGGTAACACCTGAGATAATGGTGTGCTCGAGGGTGTAGCTCGGCTCACAGAGCAGGAAAACGCGTTACGAGGAAGGTAGTGGCAAGTCGCCTTGGTTCCCGCAGAAATGCAAAGAAGAAGTTGGAGTAGGCAAAGTGCTACTTATCGGCGTTTCAAGGACGGAAATTAAATGTTGTTCATATTTTAACGATGCTAATGCAAGAATCCTGCACGTTTACCGCAATGACAATGACAAACCATGCGGGGAGGGGGAGGCAGGAAATGATATCCGATGATGCTAGAAAATAATATTTTTAACGTGCTGATAGTAATACATTTGTAAGGCGTGTCTTATTATTTTTTATTCAATGGCAAACACCTCATTCCACCTACTTTGAGAACAACCCCTCACTTGGATGCTAAGCGCATGATTTCTAGTTCGCCCATGGTCTTCATCTTCTTTGGGTGAGAATTTACTGCATTCACGTGCAGCATGAATAGCATGCGTCAGCTGAAAAGGTGCACTGAAAGCGCGTACCGACCGTTAGTTTCTTCGCTGCTTTAATGAGAGCAATAAGCGTGGCGTTTCTCCTTGGCCAGGCGTCGTTCCGCATGACATGCCTGGTATAAAGATGGTGCCCTGGTGGCCACGCACGAAGGTGCGTTCGCCATTAACAAACTAACTTTTCTTTTGGGGTATTGTATATCAGCGATATTTAAGGAGTTACATCGATCATCTTTCTAGCCTTTTCTTTTGTCAGACGCTTCCTTGACTAGAAGGCGTTGTGTTGCGAAAACCTGATCATTTTTTCTTGAGGTAAAAATTGCCACTGAGCACGCGTCGTTTCCTCATAAAGAGTGATTGAGCTTGGCACTAGAAAGTGTTTACGATGCGAAAGGAGCAGTGAATATTTCTTGTTTGAGCACTTGTTGCAGAACTCTTTATAACCCGTAATTTGAGGCAGCCGTTGAAATGACAGTAAAAAGCGCAATGGCGAAATCGTTCAGTGGAATGCAGTTTCAAATCCGGTTTTCGGCGAAAGCGAATTGTGGCTTCTGCCTTTTATGTCATTGAAAATATGCAACATTTTACAGGAGCGCCTTCCCGGTAAGCACAACGGTTATTCTAAAAATTAAATTCCAAAAACCATTATGCACTGTTGTGATATTTCGGCTGCTCTTCCAGCAAGGTACTTAAATTCTGTGATAAATTTTGTTGTAAAAATGAAGACAATAAAATAGCAAAAATTCCCATTACATTGTTCTATCGAGCCAACAAAACTGGTTGAAGCCTAATCGGTAAAATATTGTAAGCAGGGATGGGCAGTATTTCAAATGCAAGTACTTAAATTATGAATTTAAGATACATATAGTATTTTGTGTCGTGTATTTAACTACATATTACAGAATGGATCTGTCGATTGTATTTACATACAATCAATATGCATTTCAAATAAAATAGTAATTAAATACAATTTGAAGGACCATCGCCCTCGAATTTTAAATAAACTTTCTGGATGTTTATACGGCCTGATGCCGGTCTCCCCTTGACATATGGCGGCACCGGTTTTGAGGTAAACAATTGGCCAGCTCAAAACGACTGCTAACCTAGGGTTTTTAACGCACACAAACCGTGGTGTTCTTTGACAACCTCGCTGTTACATTGGTCATCCAGATCAAAAATGGCAGATCGTAACCGTGGCCGTAACTCTTCGAACACTCTAACCAACTTATTCTTCTCTTCCCAGTAGGTTCTGTACTGTCAAAAGCAAAGGAGTAGTCAACAGCTTTGTGGCGTCCTCGCCTCTTGGGAATGTTTTATTTTGTTGTTTTACTATTGATTTTAATACAATAAGGATTTCATGCTGCACGAACTACTTACTCATGGACGAGATTAATTTGTTCTTATCTTTATAGTTTTCGTACAATACATTTCACGATCTACATGCTATTTCGATTTTATGCGTTTTATTATCGTAGCACTTAAGACTCTATTCTTAAGAGAAAAATCGGATAACTCCAGTTGTACTTGATTTTGTATTTGTACATTTTTAGAGTGGACTTGTTGTTAAATATATTTTTGTCGAAATATTTCGCATTTCTTTTGGATACATGTCTGCAAGTATTTTGCAAAGATGTAACGTGGTACAGCATGAGGTATGGCAGGCAAGTTTTTTAATGCGTCGTTGCCATACTTCACGTAGTAACGCGAAAATAGCAGTGGTGTTGACCTTTTCTATGAAAGCATTTAGTTTGCTAAATATTAATTTATACATCAGCGCAAATTCTGCGAATGCGAGCACTAATTTCTTCTTGAAAGTAACTTTAAAACGAACACCACGTATGTTTGACATAATAAAATGAATTTAAAATCTTGGTCAGGTATATTTATGCACTAAAAACCTGGTTACATTCAGTCATTAGGATTATGAACGCACTACAGAGAGAATAAAGACATACAAAAAGCTGCAGGTATTTTATAATTTACTGTTTTAAAGCTATTTATTTTGTAATGGTTTGTACTCCTTTTCCGAATTTAAATCAGAGCAGCGATGCGCACAAGTAGTTTATAAATTCTAAGTGCACAAAGGGCGATGGAGTGAAATGGGAATGGGCTTCAAGAACTCTTGCCTTTAGTTCTATCTCCACTGACTTTTGAGCTACTGTTTCTCACAAAATCAGGCTACAACAAACTACATGCCATTTTGTGCGTTTTGCTTTCAGAGTAGAAGTCACTTTTGTTTTTACTACACTTTGCTTTTTGTTCCAGTAAAAACAATATAATTTAGAAGTTACATGATGTCAGTGGTGCAAATTTAAGACGAGACATGCTTTGTTTTGTATAGCTTTTTTTTTATACATTCGTTTTACTGCAGTGAGATTATTTAAATGGCCACAGAATCTGCCGGCCCTTTCATTTGTTTCGTTTTGTTTTGTTTTATCTTTCTGAAGGCTTTGACGCCCCCTTCCTCGAGATCTTGCATCCTTGTTCGTTTGCGACTTGGGATCTTCAACAATCTGGTCATTAAAATTTAAAAAAGAAAAAATTATGCCTATATCTTAAATTTGTTATTATAGCTAAAATTCACGACTGGCATATGCGAAAACGACAAAGACAGTATCGGCGGAAAAAAAAAACACAACGAATCAAAATAAAAAATTGAGACATAAAAATGCGACATATGACCAAAAATTTGAAAAAAAAAGAAATATTTTTTTAGGTTTTCAATAAAAAAAGGGAGGTAAGAATTAAAGAGGCGCCTAAATTGCATGTCCTATACATGTTTGTTGAATATGAGTGTGTCCGATCACAATGAGTCTTGTGAGCCAGACTTAAAGCGCGAGCATTGCTCTAGAGCCAAATTTTGCTGTTTCATGGCTGATTCATCGCAGATTCATTAAAGTGCCAGCCTGAAAAGTAATATCAGGACCACGTTGGTTTAGGTCTAGAAACAAGTTTTGCTGATTCATGGCAGGTTCGTCGAACGTTCATGAAGGTTCAACGACGTTCGCGCATTGTAGTTTTCACTGTTGGCGATTACGGTGTGATGAAATTGAGCACACTCACCGAGATTTTTCAGGTCGTGGCCGGCCTGCTTCCCGTATTTCCGAAGGTAGATGTCAGTCAGCGATCCGACCACGAGGAACGAGACACAGGATGCCATGAGATACCTGCGGCAGGGAGAGTATGCACGACCGAGGCCCGTTTTGGAGTGATGCCCCGCACGTCGACGCTTGGCTGTACTCACAGTAGTCCCTTCTCCATGGCTCCCAGATGCATTTTCTCCTTTATGACGCATCCTTTCACCGTTGCATCAAACCCGTGTTGGTTCACCACTGGGGGGCATGCAATTACAGTAATTATAATCAGGTAAAAATGTAACTCGTCTTTGGTTAGACTCATTTTACATGCTATGCATGATTCGCAGCACTTATCATAAATACAAAAAAATATTTTGTTTGTCCCTGCAGGCAATTTTCGATCACACTTGCCCTAGCCTCTTTTTGTTTATTTTGTTTGTTTGCCCTGAGACGAAAAATGGTAAAGTCTGAAGAAAAAAAAATAAAAAAACAAAACGCCACATATGTTCTTTTGTGTTAATTGATCTTTTTTTCTTTTTTTTTATTCCTGGAATTGATTGGTGGTTGGAATAGTATACACGAGGCGGGGAACATCGTAATCTGGAAATTTTTTCGGCTGGGTTATGCTTAACAAAGGCTAAGTTATATTTTTGAATGCTCGTTTTTGAATGGCAGCATGTGTTTACACTGTCACATCGAGAACTAACCTCAATTGTGCGAAATTTTTAATTAGTAACTCATTAGACGTCATCACGTTTGAATACCTGACGACAGCGCAACTTTGAAGTTTTCAGTCACTTTATGTGGGTTGCGTATACACATTTAAAACCAACTCGCCAGCCCCCCTGTGATTCTGTTGGGTTAATTTATTGGGCAACAAAACTCCATTTCCCACCACCCCCGCTAGTTCTCACAACATCATTAGTATAATAACTTTTCTATGCACAGATGTCTCGTAGATATCAATAGGAGGGTTCAGCAACGATAAATGCGACTTTGAATATTCAGACTTTCACTGAATGCCGACTGCTGTTTGCGCCATAAAAAAAAGATTTAAAAAAATTAGCCAGTGAAAATATTTTGCGTCACTACACAACTGCAAATTACTGTCTGGTAAGTAGGGTTTCGTGTTTTCGGTTCATGGCGATAAATCTCAGAAATTAATCCCCGATACCGGTTTATTAAAATTGAGGGGAAAAACAGAAAAGACGTCTAATTGAAGCCTAATCTTGAACAAAAAAAAATCCAAACTTCATGCAAAAAAAAATCTTCATATGTAGTTTTTTTTTTATTTATTAACCTTAAACCGAGCTTTACTAACCGTTCAGAAAATATATATCTTCTTTTACTTCTTTTTTTTTTCTCAAGGAATTTTATATTTGTTTTTAACATTTGTTGTTTTTGTCTTATTTGTACCAGCTCATTTTACGAGTATTTGGGTCACGCGTGTGTTTCCTGTAGCTTAGGAAATCCCATTCCGTGCTTTTGTTTCTAAACCTTACCAAATAAGCGCTGATTATTTGTCGGACACTAAATAGAGATACCGAAAAACACCAAATCTCTGAGAACAAACGAACCCCGAAATAACACGCCCCGAATTCGATTAAAAATAAACCCAGGAAACATGAAATCCTACTCATTAGTGACATTGAAAAAGGAAGTATAAAGGGCGGGGTGAACTTGCATACCTATCTATGTACACACTTGGGATAGTTGGCGATGCATCTTGAAGACATTACGTAAACTACGCACTTAGTATTTCTTATATTTTCTTAAATGTGTAAGTAAAACTAGTCGCATAATATTCTATATATAGACACGCAATGCCTCTAGGAGCAAAAATATAAAATGTTTTCGTTATTTCCCAAAGAATATGAACCACGGCCGTATGCCTCTTTAGTTGTTAATGAAATATCGTGGTAGATTATGAGAAAACACATTCCTGCTGATAATGACAAGGTACTATGGTTGGTCACTTACTCGAGTCTATGAGGAATTCGAATTCTTCAGCAGAGCACGGCGATGGGTAGCAAACGCCTAGGCGGAGGCCGTGGGCCATGTCGTTGTACATGAACTTGAAGAAGTCGATCTTGGCCTTAAAAAAAGGAATACATCCTATAATTATTATCGGTAAAAAAAGTAATGCCGAAGATGAAACGCCCCAGGTGTACAAAACTCGTACTTTATGCAGGGCTCGTGAGTCAGCGGTTTTTATTAGTCTCGTTTATAAAAACTAGAGCCCCCATACCCCCTCCCCCCCTTCCCACTTCTCCCCCCTGGGGGATGGACGGGCGTAATTGCATTTCCTGCCAAGACGTGAACACTGTATGTCACGTATAAAATAAACTTAATGTAGATTTGCATTATGAAATTTTCTAAATGTCCTCCCAAAGAAAGCGACTTCAAAATTATGATTGAGGGATAACCTTGAGAGGAATGTCAGGCGTTTTGCGCACTTTTGATGCGTTTTGCTTATGTTTTCTGGGACGGCATATCGCGATTTACGATAAACCTTTTTTTTTATCTTGTCTAAATGGTTATTGGCATAGTCACCCCTTTCACGCAGTTAGACGCAGCGTATACACATAGCTCTCCGAGAGGCTACTCAACCCAGTCAAACGCATTAATCCCGGTACATCATTGTTGCATTGTAAAGGACACCGGTGATCGAGACGCCAACACCACATTTCTGAAATCTTGGCCTGACAAAAAACACACACCCTGTAAATGATCAACGGTAAGGAAGACAGGTGGAACATGAAACGCACAAGGCGCACGAAACGCGGAACCAACTAACCCAAGTGTGTACTATGTCATTTCTGCAACTAGTAAAAAAACTTCTTAAACAGATCATTCTCGTAAATATTTATGCTAAACCAAACTAAATCCCTAACTATTTTTTATCGCCGCTATAGAAGCCACGAAATGATAACTATTGATATACACGTGCAATTTAAGAGGCGGAGAGCTGATGTTTCTCACGTATTAGACCAACGAGAAACTAAATTCTTCTGATTGTGTTTTTTTTTCTACAGTTCCATGCATATTTTACATCCCCACACCTCTCACGACAGGTGTTATCTTACACGCAGTTCGACTCCAGTAGTTGTGCTGTCTCGAACACAAGGTACGTAATATTAGGAAATGCTTTGTTATTATACGCTATTTAAAATATATATAAAATATATTATATTTCCTATATTTGTTCATTGTTATGAGATTGTTGGTGACAAATTAGGGCTTCACGTTTACTATATTACTAAAGTGAATGTAATGTAAGAATCATTCTGGTGACTGTTTAGGCATCATAACCCCTAAGACGAGGAACACCAAAAATAGACTAGGTATTTTCTCCGAAATTGTCACGTGCAAAGATGTGGCCAAAAAGGAAGACCTAATAGGGTCAGACACTGCGTATTTCGAATTTCGAAATGCAGCACGTGCATCATCGGGGCACGATGAATTCAATTTTTCCAGAGGTCGCGGCTCTAGTCTATCGTTGGTTGGTATGTTCCGTACACTCTGATTTGTAGCGGTATTTTTTTTCACTTTCTGTCTGTCTCTTACTATTTTTTCGTAAAATTTGTCCTGCAACTCGTTCTATACGTAAGTTTCTTTTACATATATATATATATATACATGAAACCATGCCTTTTAAATCATTTTCATAATAACAAAAGCCCACTTAATTTTCAATTATAGCCACGATGAGCATGTTGGATTTATGTTGTAACTTCTAAACACATCCGTTTTTACTTTCTCATTGAGATCTTTCTGAAGAGCTCATTGCTACCCGATTATATTACTATCAGTCAAGTTAAGTGAAGGAAAGCGGACGACTGCTTAGAACTGAGCCAATATATCTGAGCCAAGTTTTACTGAGCCAAGTTTAATGCTTCTTATCGTGTAGTGTCTTTGCATTGCATCTATAGTAGAGTACCCTTGCCGTGTTCTTTATTTTCTTGCTCGACTTGTCATGTCTCACAAAAGTACGCCATCGCTAGTCTAGAAAAAATTAACCTCGATCACCTCAATCTTAGCTTGCGTTCTTTATTCCTCATAATTAGAGGCGAGTGCCTAAATAACCTAGTCAATATGTACGATATTGCCATATTTTTATTTATGCATGACTGTCAACGTATTGCTTCGCGAAAAAAAATATTGTCATTTGTAGTTTCTTTTTTTTTTGTGCACTTTCAATACGGCACATTTCGAACTCTGTATATATTTTTTTTAATAAAGTAGAGTCGTGTCTTAAAAGCGGCTGGCAATATGCAGAGTCCTGAGAAACAGGCGCTTGCGTACCCCATCGTAGACTTCCTCGTGCAGTTTCCGGACGAGCTTCTCGAAGAAGGGCAGTTTTCGGGGCTGCAGGTAGAGGGTACAGTACTGTCCCGAGAAGTGGACTTCTCCGTCGGCATCCCTGGCGGTCGTCGACACGCACTGGTCAAAGGTTCCCAGGTCGTTGAAGGTTCCCGAGATGAGTCCTCCAGGAGGCCGCGAATTAGCGTCCACAACTAAAGCGAAAATTCGTTGGACAAAAGAGATACTAAGCTTCTTGTACTCAAAGTACAAATTCAGTTCAATGCTTAGCACCTTTCCTAATTGATGCTTCAGACTATTATCTGCAGCAGCCAATTTCTGACGGAAAAAAGTGTATCCTTTGAAGGTTTCCACCCGGTGCAGAACCCGTACCTAATGTCTACTCCGCGCGTAAAAAAAAAATGATTATCATACACAGCAAACCTTCACAAATGTTTGCTACCATTAGCTTAGAAAGAAGCTTGTGTCGTAAATAAATAAATAGTAACGCACTATGTTTTTCACGAAAGTTGTCACGACTCGTCGTAAGAATCGGTAGACAAAAAGAAAACAAGAAGTTTCAGAGTCCGCGCACCTGAAGATAGTTTACTCTTGATAAAATTTCAACTTTTAAACACGCATGAACCGTGGAATATAGTCCCTTAAATACATTAAATTAAGATAGAGCCGATTATCGAACAAACGTCAAGATAGTTTAAAAAAACGAATATTTATAAAAATATTTTTATTGTAGCTTTACTACTTGATGGCGGGGACCGAATAAACCAATCCGTTATTCTATACGCAGCACAACGAGTCCTATGTCTCCGCACAGTAGCAGGCAGCGTGCTTCACATAATGACGCTGGCGAGCATGTATCACTTTGTGGTGGAGACGGTATAGGCCTGAAATTGAGTAAAAACTGAATAAAAAAGTCAAACAAGGACCTCTCAAACACGAAGAAGTGTATTTAAGATGCCCATCTTGTCCGTTCTCTTTAAATATTTATTCGGTCTTCAGTCAAGCTCGCGCACAATATGAAGAGAAACGTCGGGCCGCGAGACATGATGCGGAAGAAATGTTTGTTTTGACCTGTCGTTACTTCTCGGAGTGTCTGAATCGTGCCTTACTCCAATCGCATCGTATAGAATACGGGTATAACGTTCCTTTTTATTACTGCGCTTCTCGTAATTTGCCTATGTTTTTTTAGTCCTTTTAAAGTTAACTAATTGCTTTGGTAATAAGTACCGTTTTATGTTTTTATCACTGAACCAACTTCGGAAATGGATTGTAAACTCCGTATTAGGCTTACTTAGTGAACCCCAAAAGGGTATAAGAAATTCTTTTGACAGTTTTTGATCCCGCCTCGATGATTTCTTCGGTGATGTTAAAATAAATTTAATTTATCTAAGGCGTAATATTTTATTCAATTGTACAAGGACAGTAAACAAATACTAGTAGCACACATGGCTGGTATAGCTTGTTCACCTGTTGTTCGCTTAAGCAATTACAGAAGCGCCAAAAGAAAGTTTGTGATCACGCTATGCTCTTGAGTGTGTTTGATATCCCCAAAGATTTGAGTTCTTGTCGGTGCAAAAACCATCAATATTTGTCGAGTGGCAAAACTCGAAAGTTTCGAAGCATTAAATCTTACAGAAAATTCAACTGCTCAAACCGCCCACATATCTTCAACCTGCGAATTAACTCTGCATATCCCACAATCACCAGACAAATTCCTCTTCAAAACCTCAGCGGACGAAGGCCTCGTTGCAGTTGTACTAAAAATATAGATTTAGCGTTGAACCATTTGGTTTTTATTTTCTCAATTAGGGCTATCTACAATTTCACTTAACCTTTGTATGAAAGCAACGAAAGCTGAAGAAAATGCGCGCCTTATCATTAAGAAATGTTCATGTATTCGTGCATCACAGTTGAAAATATGTATACTTAATTAACCGCTTTCAGTCCGATTACTCCAAAATTGGACTGCGATCAAATTCAAGCCAACCCGAGGAAGTTTATTAAATAGTTTGGAATCTCAAGCGCCATGGTCAACGCAACCCCTTTTTCATCGATATATCACGAAAACGTTTTGTGCTCTCCTTTGCTGTCTTTTCATGATCTGCGATACACATGTGGACACATTAGCTCACGAAGGTCCGTAAGTGTGTGCGATTAACTAGCACCATTTTACTATTTAGATATTTCCTTTTTCTTGCATGCTTCGTTTTAGTTTTCGGCGTCGTCGAGTTAAATATAGCGGAGAGGAAGCGTACGAGCAGGACGTCTAATGTCGGGGCCGCCGAGATCCTTATGGAGGAAGTGTCATCAACCTGAGCCGGGAGAGCATTTTCCAACGAAGGCGTGTTTTTGCCCTCGCATTGGACAGCACTTCCAGGAAGCGACGGAAGGGACGGTGAGCCATTTTTTCGTCCACTCCGTTTCCCGCTTCTTGCGTAAGCTTGCGTGAGGCCCTGTCCGGGCGTCTGACCGCGATCGACGACGCAACCATTTACGCAACATCCTGCGGTGCCTTGCGCTCAACCCGGTTTGTCAAAGATCTGCGCACTTTTTTCGAGAGAGGTCTGACATCAAAAAGTTGTTTTTACATGTTTTGTTTGTTGGGCTTATGCTTACTCAATTATTGTCACTGCTTTGGTTACGTTTTTTTCTTTTTCTTTCTTCTATTTGACTATTAGTGTTTAGAGACATACGGGTATGTGATGTTAGGATTTCGACGCATGGTGCCGAATGACAACGTTTTGTTTTTCATTTGAAGTATGCATGAGGCGAGTGACTATTTCAAGGTTCCTAGATCTTACACAGTTCCATCTGTTGGGTTACTTATCGCTTTGATGTTAGTAGAACGTAAAATGCATTACCTACACAATACACAATTGCTAAAATTAAAGAAAAAAATCGAGACCTCACTACTTGGAAGTTGGATCACTTGCAAGAAGTAAAAGTGGATTTTTTTTTTTTTTTTGCCTAGACGGAATTAGCATTATCCCATTTTCCATAACTGTTCGGAATTAAGGTTGTTACTTTCTTTCAAAGAGTGTGCCATTTCGAATGAAGTTTATAGGCGCCATCATCTTCACGGAAATGACACCGACATCTATAACTACGACCTCATTTTTGTTGATTGTGGTAATGATATGCACACCTTGTAACAGCAGGTGACTTATTGCAATCAGTCCGTATAAATTTAAATCGAATTCAATAAAAATGTTTTCTTGGGGCTGGCGTTTTTGCTTGAATATGTAGGTGCGTGTTTTTCTCTAGCTCTATTTTAAAGCTAGTGTATAGTTCCAAAATCAGTTGCATCTCCAATAGAGAACAACGAATTCGTAATATATACCGGATATACTAATACATTGCGCAAGAGTATAAGGCAAAATAGAGCAGAAGAAAACAACACATTACAGGCCATGTTGTGCAAGCTTGAATTTGTTATTTGCCAAGCCATACTAACTAAATGTTTTACTCTCTTAGGAGAGCACTATTGTGAGGTATTTGTCATCTTTTACCGTGTGTACGTCTCAGCTGTTCTCTATCGCAACGTATTCCCGTTTTAAAATGAGTACAAACATTTTCCTTGCCTAACTTAAGCCTGTCCTACAGTGATTCGGCTTATGAGGAAGCTTTTTTAGTCCACTTGTTAGTTATGGGAACATGACTGGGATGACTGGATTTCGGCTGTTAGTTTGCTCCGTACCGATTCCAGGATCGCAAACGCAGGGCACGGCACATTCCTTCCCCGAGTCGGACAAAGATGAGAGCAAAACCTTTTCGCTTAAATTCGTCGACGCTATTTTTGGAGTTCCTCTCGGACGTTTCTTGAGCGCGACAGGCCTGGGGATTCTACTGTCCTTTAGGCACCCCTATAATTTACACAGTTCGTGGTGTTTTGGTATCTACGTTTAGGTGTTTGTTTCAATGAAGAGGCAGTTTTTGTGGGTGTTGAATATTTTTTTAAGTAGTCTCAAGTGAACAAATAAATTAAAATGCGCCGATTTGAATCAGTTTAAATGGGAAGCTTAAAATATGTTCTGTGCTAAAATGCCTGAGGCAACTGACCCATGTGGAACACCGCAAGAATAAGCCACATGTGGGACGTGGGACGTCGTACACTTTCTTTTATTAAATTGAGTGTACAACGTCCCTCGTCCAACTTGTCTTATTCTTTCGATGCTTTTCCAATCAACCAACACGTTCGCTAGATTATATTGTCTTAACCTATGTGAGTACTTTGTTTCTCTTTTTTTGTGTTGTTCATTCTTCTGTTTAAGCCACACTGATCACGACCAAGAGCTGTTCAAAATATGCTGTTTATATTTGCATTTTAAAACCTATTTCATTCCTGCGTTTTCTGTAGAAAGGCTTACTATTAAGAAATACTAATCGCCGTTGTTATACAAGGCACACCAAATAACACGTAAGCCTTTCGTGCGTGTCTTTTTCAACCCAATTGCAACTTTTCCAGCTTATATTATTAAGTTATCTGCTCTATTTATTGTTGAACTAAGTTTATAGTTTTTTTTTATTTCTACACTTTTTTAATACCTCAATAAAACACAATTGATACGCCAACTTCACAAAGTCCCTCTTAACCGACCTTCAACGATTACTCTGAAGCCTCCGCTCCTCCTCTTTTCTCCAAAGTCATTTGAATAAGATTACATTTTAGGGCTTAATATCCAAACCAACGAAGATATATCTTCGATGTACTAGTTTGAAATCAAACAAGGATTTTGCCAATGTAAAGCCGGTATTTCCATAAACTGCGCTCATGAGATTATGGGCACCTGAGCCGAAATTTAATCTCACAGTTGGTTAATCTTTAGGCAGACATTGCGTCTCGAAGGTGCTGACCAGGCTCTAGACTTCGCAAAATTTGTTTCAATAGCGGTTGTAGCTAACATTTTATGCAACTATTCTCACTGACAAGTTACGAAAGGGAGGGCACGACGTATCATCTTCCCAAATTTTGCTTCGTCCTTCATTCTTCGATCGGCACTCTTTTCGGCTAATGCTCCATCTCTGTCCTATGCAGAGCGTTACTAAAGTGATTTCGCTGTGTATAAAAAAAAAAAGAAAAAGAAAGAAATTGACTTACGTCTCAGCGCCCACGGCTCAAACTTGCGAACTCCAAGCAGAAGCCTGAACAGGGCTGCCGAACAGTCCCCGGTGACGTTTCCGCCAAACCCGAGGGCCGTCATCCTCGGCAAGGACTCCTGAATCAGTCGGTCCATGAGGTTACGGAGATGCGACTCCACGTCTGGCACGTTTTCAGACACCAACGTTGCGTCGGTGCTAGCCGCTCTCGCGACGCCATCTACAGTAGTTGTGAGATCATGGTCCACTTCATCCGACGTACCACGAGTGTTCGAATGAACCGTGGAGCCGACTCGTGCCGACTGTTGCAGCAGCCACAGAACCACCAGTACCGTCCAAGACCTCATAGCGCTAGACTGAATCTACAACTGCCGGCGATCTCTTGTGTTGTTGCCTGAGCGCCACGGCGGAAAAAGTCTCGGGCTTCTTTCTCCTGAATGGAGAGTGGTGTCCGGCCTTTCCTTCCTTCCTTCTTCCTCCCTTTCCGTTTCCTCTCGGACTGCAGCAGCGGACGAGGAAGTCCGCCGGAACAACGGCGCTTCCAATTACGTGAAGCGGAAGATGCGAGCTGCCTCTCCGTTTCTTTGCACGACGTGGCGCAGTGCACGAAGCCCTCGGTCTTCTTTTGTGGACACGAGCTGCGTGGAAGATGGCCCCCCTCATCATTGACGCTAAGTGCTCTCGGCGATGGAAAGATTACGGATCGCGAACCTGGGACACTTGTCTCCCTCATCTTGGTGTTCCTGCGTTTTATGGTGCCGCATGCTGAATGATGGTGGGTCGTTTATTCACCTCTGATCTGGTGCTGCTCTTAAGCTGGTGACTTCCCTGACGCAGCGCCTGGCCTTACTTCTATCGTGTGGAATAAATCGATTGCGGAGAGACTCAGACTGCTTTATCTGTGACTTCCTTCAGCGGCACGGCTCTTTAAGTAAATAGGATAGAGATATTTGCGGAGGAGGTGCTATATTTGGTTGTTCACGACAGACGATATTTGGTGGGGTCGTGAACTCATTTCTTTATGTGGCTACCTATAATTATTTCCGACATAAAGAAGCCAGGCTACGGAAGGTTCCGGGAAACTTTGCTTATTTTTGTGGAAGATTTACCTTTCACGGAGACAGCCTCGTCATATTCATACAGTCAGCTCTTTGCGTACGCATCGTTTTGCCGCGCAGAGATACTAAACTGAATTATTAGTACAAACCTTCGTAGACAAAACAGCTGTTCTAATCTCCAAAGAAGAAAAAGGACAGGGAAGTATTCCACAGTCACTGATAAAGTGAGAACGGCAGTGCGTCTCTTCCAAAAGCCCGACTTCAAGCACTCGCTCGTTGCCTTTCGGCGTGCTTCGGCGACGCGTAGAGGCTCGAGGCTCACGAGACGTCGAAACATTATCGAAGGTATGAAGCCAGCGCTGAAGGTGGGGCAACTCAAGCTGCTTCCTGCCGCTTTTATCCGCTCAGGGCCTATACACGCTTTACACACGCGCGAAATTACGTCCGCCATTGGTGACCTTCTCTTGTTTTACCGAGACACCGAGCCATCAAAGACAGGGGTTGACGAGTCTGCAGAAAGACCAATGATGGGGGGAAGCACACGGTAGAATCTAAAATGGCAATGACCTGGCCTGCTATGTTAATGACGAAGTGAAGTGAACGCAATAAGAGGAAACAAAAACTGAAGGCCGGTTATGGCGGCGCCCATGCACAGCTGCTGCAAAGCGTCTATAGACCAACTGCTATATAGCCCGAGCCTCAAGGAATATGCAGGGATTGGTGATCCACGCACCACACGCGCATGCCTTCCCCGTATAAAAGATTCGAAGTAAATGACCAAAATAAATCGTTGACGAACGCGTGTGCAAGATGCCATTTGTTTTAGGTATTTGCTTTAGAAAAGTTACTACTGCCGAGGCCAGCACGTGTGTCGTGTGGAACACCAATCCCTGCATTCTCCTTGATGCTTTGGTAATATAGCAATAGATTTATTGACGACGTGTGCGACCAAAAGCGGCGTCGCGGTAGGCTTTCTACGAGGGGCCAACCAATCACAGTGATATATTGGTGTGGAATTAATTCTGTTTTGTCTACTGAAATAAGGGTAATGCCAGACTCAGGCGGTCATGTTTGACGGTGTCAGTTTAGGAATGCGATTACTTCAATCTTCCAAAGTGCTTTTTACACGCAACGTCAAACTTGTCGTTCGCCACGGATAATAAGTATTCAGGATTACAACCCATGTGATGTCACGGTGAGGCAGATGCTGGCAGTGTGACATTAGAGATGGGAGCTATAAGAGGGTGCCGCGGAAACATCTCGGCGCTAATAGTTGTGCCGCCTCCGGTGCAAGCTTCTTAGCTTCTATACCACATTGGTGTCTTGCGATCCTCCAGAGTGCACGCACAGCCAAAGCAGGACCGAACTTAACCGGCACGCACTGGAGGCCGTCCATACGAAAGAGGTGTCTTATGTTTCCTGTCGCCTCAGTGGCTGCTGCGTCCCTAATTGAACCTCTTAAGTCAACATAAAAAACCCTCACATCTCTTTCATTTTCGACTATTTCCTCGTGATACAGCTTCACATGTGAATCACCTATTGAGGTGTATTAAAAACAAACTGCGACTTTAGCACCAGGGTAGAAGAGGTATTATGGCAGCCCTGGTGCAATGAAAAAAATAAGACAGGTAAGCTTAACTTAACAAACTTTACAAACAAATAGACATTGGGATTAATATTACTTACCACAATGACGGCCATATCGGCACACTCGAGCACGTTTCATTTGTAGAGCTCAGTGTGACGTCGGCTAATGTGCAAATCGCCACATGCGCAAGCTTCGAGCGTTCAACATACTCATGACAAAACGCAAAGAGCTCTAAGTCGAGTAAAGCCAATTGTAATGAAGGTGCTGGTCACATTACCTTTTGGAAATCACACGGTTTGATACTTGTTTCCATACCTAGCTGGTCCTCTGGCGGTCTGGAACATACATTTATTTGCCCTTTGTCAATTCCGACTGTTTTCAGGGTCCTAATCATTATCGTCGCAGTCCCCGAGGTTTATAGTCCTCATAACCTTATGTATAATCATTGTCACTTAATAAAAGTCGTAAACTAAACCAGTATGTAAACGATTGTCCAATGGTCGACAGTCTTGGCCACAGTATTACCATGGCGTTTCAATATAAAATGAGATAATCGGCACGTTTTTTGGCAAATTGACAAGGACAGATGATAAAAACATAAATGCCTCATTTATTTGCAAATCGATATCCGCTCCCAAACGTTTTATCACCATTTACTGAATGGGTATTTTGATTTTAACTTGCTTGGATTATTATTGCAACAGAAACAATCCAGCCAATCTCAAGAAGACGTCTATTTTACCAATACGGGAAATTCCCTTTTCACTTATATGTAGTTGCTTTTGGAAGATCTTTAGAAACTATTTCCACGGTGAATGCAAGTTACGCCGCTCTTTTAGTAAACCGGTTATCTATTAAATGTTATCCTATTCCGAAGCCAGCGCTTAAACTCTTATCCCATAAATGACGGAACTTTAGAAGCCTAGCAAAGAAAACTATTTTAGTTGTGGATTTTGACAGCATGTGTCTCCTGATTGCGCAATCCTTATAGGCCCCGTTGTAATTGGGCTGTTCCTGGAACGATGTCGCGTATCGGTTTTTTGAGGGGATTAGTTTTTCCGTTCGCCAGACCGGCTCGCGAAGCAAGTGCGAAAAACGGGGAAATATTTGAAGGAAACTTCCTTCAGCACCCGCGGCGCGAACTCGTTCGCTTAGCGGTGCCGACTACGCTCATGACGTAAGACGGCGCCACACCTGTCGGCCGAATTCGGCCTGTCTGAGCCTTCGTCATATTCTGCTTAAAAAAGATGACAGGCAGTTCAACAGCTGACCTTTTTAAAATAGTAATTCCTGCTTGTACTCACAGTGTTAATTCCGTTGTAGGAATAGATAAGAAACGGCATGCAGAAAACCAGTGAACTGCATAAATATTTTTTTTTTTATTACGAAACTTTGTCTTGCTGTTTTACGTTGCGCTTATTTTTGGTGTCTTATGACCATTTCATTTTAACTAAAGTCCCTCTGTCTGCGTCCAACACAATTTGTATTTTGCTTTAAAATGCAAATGGCCTTCGTTTTGCTGTAAGCTGTAACCATGCACACAGTTCAATTAAGAATTGGACAAAATCTGCATCTATTTGCTCTGATTAGATTTTTGTGCTAAGAAAGCTCAATAGATATAAACATTAAACGGTTAACACACAGTGATGTCAAGAGAATATTAAAAAAGATATCACATTTTCGCTAAGTAGTTGGTAATTAGCTTTGTAGTTTTTATGATAAAAGAAGTAACCAGCAATCAATTCCTAATTGTCAGGGTGCCCAACGTTCCGAAAACATCTTGGATTCTTAATAAAAAAGATGGCGCAGCCGCGATCTTTCTTCTCACTTTACGCAGCCGTTTATTAGCTGTTTACGCAGCCATTAAACATCACCAGTTGTGAAATGACGCGGGGCAACTCTAAGACTTCGCAAAGTCACGCGTTCCGTCAAGCATAATTTTGTTTTCTGCGCCGGTCAGGAGGCAGGAGTCAAAATTGTGGCCTCAGTAAGAAAAAAGCAGCACTCGCCTTCACAAACGATGTCGCCGCTCTAGCAAGGCGCACCTAGCAAGCATCGTTGAGGCGCTCTGTTGAGGATTAGCTTCTTTTCCTGGCAGCGGGCATGACCGTTGGACCACAGCAGTTACTTCTTCTAAGAGATTGTCTTTTTTTTCGCCTTTGTCACATGACGCAGCCCGTTAGTGTATACGGCAGGGAAATTACCACGGCAGCTGCCATTATTTTCTGATGTAGTCTGAATGTTCTACGAACATCTTAGAACATTTTCTCATGAATAGCCTCAATTGCGAAGATGTCCGTGTTCTCGGAGTCAATACAGTGGTCATTGACGTCATCATGCTCAGCAACAGCGCTGTGCTTGTGGTCAAATTTGGGCACATCGCTTTTTCTTATTTTTTTTTTTTTTGGCAAATCATTTTTGAGTGTTTTTTTTTTAATTGTTTAGGCGATTATGTGTTTGGGCGACCCCCGCAGAGAGTCTTGCAAACGACATTCTGTGCTCTTTCCTTACAAGGGCGATTCATTTGGCGGTCGGCTGGTATATGGCGTCCAAATACTGAAACAAGCTGTATTCCTTCGACGGAACCCTTTCTAACCTTAAGTGTGTGCGTGTATGCAGAGGACACCGATGCGTCGGGAAGGGGGGGGGGGGGAGGGGTACTGTGTACCTTGGGGTTGTAGGGGTCGATAAGTATGACCTT